GTTTAAGGCTCTGTGGCTTAGTTCTCTAATATCTAATCACCAGTGATGGCCTTCTTGGCATCTCGATCCGCTCTGTGCCTGTGACTTCAGTGAGGCCTCTTCCAACCCTGCAGCCTTTAAACCAATTTTTTGGTGCCATTCCATAATATTTACATGATGGGGAATATGTTGCAAGAGTTAAGGCTAGTGATGAAGATTGCAACAAAAGATCCTGTAATTGCCATTGGCCACTACCAAGTAAAGTCAGTGATCTTTGGCGTATTAAAGACTATATAATTGATGTAGCTTCTGAATTTATTGTAAAAATGCAAGCATGGCTGTTTCTGACATAGATCATTCACTACAGAAAGTCCATTTTGTAGTGGGCTTTTCCAGTTTCTATCACCATTATATCATGCATTTTGGTCATTCACATTCCTACACAGGTAATTCTCCACTCAATTTAAATACAAAAGTAGACAGAGCTTTAGGGACTGGAAAAATAGCTTAGTGGTAGAATACTTGACTGTTATATGCAGTGCTCCTGCACTACACATACATGCATGCATACATATATACATACATAATACACACACACACACACACACACACACACACACACACACACACACTAAAGCCCGGGTTTCTCTGAGTCTTTTAGTGTTTTTTTCCAAAGAATCTTGTATCATGTGAAAATCTGGTTAAACAAACCCATTATCCCTTTATTTTCCTAATTTCTTCTTGTTATAAGATTGTTAGTCATGACCTTTATGGTAGATAAGGAAAGGTATCACCGACTTTTGTCCTACACTGAAGAAAATTTGTAAAGAGAACTAAGATGGTGCCTGGAAAAATGCCCAGAGAATGAGGCAAAGATTAACATCAATCTATTTAAAAAACAAGAGTGAAAGAGCAGCAATAGAGCTTCATAAATGTGGATAAGCCTCAGCTTTTATAAATGTTTGCTTTTTGTTCTTTCTCCCTTCCGTTCCTCCCTTTATCCCCCTCCTTCCTACTCCTTCTTTATATTTTATATCAAGAAAATCCAGAGGCCCAGGGTCAAGTCTAGTCAAGCATATGTACCTTTATAAATAAAGTTTTATTGTTACATACCATGTCCACTCATCTGCACATTACATATGAACACTTCAGCAAAGTAGTTGTATCCAAGACCATATGGCCACAATACTGTACCATACTATTTGCTCTTTATGCAAAACGTTTGCTGGTTCGGTGTTCTACATAATTGAAAGAGGCTATTTTGCTGAACTAGGCTTGAGAAAGCAGAAAGTGCTGAATAGACTTCATGCTGCATTTGGTGCTCAGCTTCTCAGCTTTCTGCTGTGTGTTAAGGGAAAGAAGCCAGGCTTCTACAAGGGTCTAATGAAGCAGAGATAGGTCCAATGGCCAGCAAGTTCTCAGGATGTCTGAAATCACCACAGAATGTGAGACTTGGAGACAGGTGACTGATGTAAGCATGTGGGAATGAAGGAGGGAAGAGGTGAGGCATGTCAAAATTTTACTATGTCTAAGAGTGCTCTAGAGTCATTCTACACTTTAGCTTGTAGAGGACAGAATTCTGCCTGCAAGTTTCGAGTGAGTTGAATGTTGTCCTTAGAGACTCTCTTGCTGTTCCCATTGACTTCGATGGGAGTAATGGGGCATTTTGTCCCACGACATCTGTGCTGGCTTCAGGCTATTTAACAAACTCCTACTAAACAAATCTCAATAAAGGCTCTTTAATGGGTACTTAATTCTGTTGTAGAGGTAGGTGCTGAGCACACCTAAGTCCTTTCTTTTCCTTCAGGTTTGCTGTTTCCTCTTTTTTATGGCTTAGTAATTACTACAGCAGAGAACCCTGAGTTAAGCACTATTAAACCCACTCCAAGTCACCGAATGTCTGCTTTTATTGATCTCAGTTGATCCTCTTACTCTCTAGGTTCCAATTTAACAGTTCAGTTGATTATTCATTTACATTTTTAATGTTGTAGGCAAAATCATTTTAACATGAATCATCTCTAACTTAATGGGTAACATACAGAGTTATTTGGGATTTTAATTTCAACAAGTATTTATTGAGCATATGAGCTCAGATGAACAAGAATCAAAAAGGTCATTTTACTTTATGGTCAACAATGACAAAAATGATGTGCTGATGTTTTGCTATACAAAATGGCTGTTACTTATAAATGGCTTCCGTGGTGTTAGAGGGTGGTTAGGACATTATGTTTTATAACTTCCACTTATTAATTATATTTTGTCTACATATACTTAAACTATATAATGCCCATATCATTGTTTGAACTTGTTCATAAACACAGGTGTTCTTATAACTTATTTTCCTTTTAGATGATTTTGCTTTGCTGAAGATGTGAGGAATTATGCCAAGTGGAGCTCTTTAGAATGAGAGCTTGATTTTATTAGCTCATGAAATTATTTAACAAACACAGACAAAATGGAAAGATCTAACTACACTTATGTTTGCAGTATTATGTTCTACCTGAAAGCTCTTTAAATATGTTTTGTGGAGTTGGTAATATGCTTTTATCCTGCACATCAAGAAGATGAAACTAAAAATACAACCACCAGTGGTTTATCCTTCTCAATAGGAACTGTTTAGTGTATCATATTTATGAGTTATATGTCTAATCATCTATTGCTTCCACTTGTTTCTAAAATGAGATGAGGCATAGGAAAATACATAAATGGGTACTTCTGGTCATAATAGTCACCTTTATCTGACAGTATAAAATGGAGCCAGAGTTTAATGCTGAATAGAGGAGGCACAGTACTCATTTTCTAGGGAATAGCATGAGCTAAGGCTTGCTGAAAAGGGCAGTGAAGAATGAAAAAGTGTCAGAACACTTGGAAGTGCCTTCTTTTGCTAATTTTCACTGCCAATTTCAATAGTCTTATTACAAACCCAGCAGACAAAGAAAAGAGCTATTCTAAATTCTTTACAAAAAGGTCAGATGGTCAATATTATCATTCTTTGTCATGAAATTATTGAACTCTTTTCTGTGTGCCTGGCACATAGGAAGCACATTCAAAGCAAAGCCAGAAATTCAGTTGTTAGGAATGCTTCATCTCATAGACATGTAAACACACCACTGATAATAGAATGTGTAATGCTTCAATTTCCAAAGCCCTTCCCTTCCATTGGCAGAACTAGAAAACTTGGGAGAAAGATGACTTTTAAATGTGATCATGAACAATGAGTGAGTTCATTAATTGAATGTTGAACTCACCCTGGGTCCTGTTCTAAGTTACTATATTTTGCAAAAGCAGGTTATTTTTTTGGTGTTGTTTGTTTTCAGATTGCTTTGCCTTGAGAGGCCCTCCTGTAGAATATTTCTACCAGGTTGTCCGCTTTGGCCTCTCCAACCTCTTTGAAATTCTTTGCCTAAGCCTTTACAGCCATGCTTAACATATATTCATATAAGATAGATATCCTGTGTGATGCATATTGTATAATTTGATAATTAATATTGCTAATCAAGATTGGAAAAAACAACAACAAAAACTCATGCTTGCCTCAGCCATAAATATCAAGGAAAAGGTAATTCTCTGGCAAATTGCTGCTTTTTTTTTTCCTTTTTTTTTTTTTTTTTTTTGGTGGCAAATTGCTGCTAACGAATTTATTGTTGCTTAATAAATTCTGACATTGTGGAAAGACACAGATGTATTTGTTGATGCTTTAACATCGCACACTTAGAGGGGCTAGCCTCGAAAGAGGTCTTAGCAAGAACTTGGGGCTTCTTAAGAAATACTGGGTTTTTCATAATAGCTCATATGAATAGTATATGGGCAGTGGAGGCAACTCAACAGTGAACTAATTTTGGGACTGTATTATGTAAACAAGGGAGATTTGTTGGCTCACTTTAAACCAAAGGGAAGGGATGGTAAGATAGGGCTTGCAAGATATCTCTCTTGGTAATGAATCTGGTGTGCAAGCATGGAGACATGGGTTTGGATTTCTAGCAGCCAAGTAAAAAGATAGTCCTGGTATTGTGCATTTTCAATTACAGCATGAGTAGGGGGTTGGAACAGAGACAGGAGGGGCTCATTGGCTAGGCAGCCTAGCTGAATCAGTGAGCTCTAGGCTTAGCGAGAGACCCTGATCAAGAGAAAAGGTGGAGAATAATTGAGGAAGACTGGTATCAACTTCTGGTATCAAGCTCTCTCTCTCTCTCTCTCTCTCTCTCTCTCTCTCTCTCTCTCTCTCTCTCTCTCTCTGTCATACACACACACACACACACACATGCACACACACACACTCACATAGCACACTAACATAGCACATAGCACACACAAGGCAACGAGAGCTCCAACAAACCCTGAAATGTGAGCAGAAGACATTAGAAGAAGTACCAGCAAAGCTAACTTAAAATGGCCAGGGTCAGAGACAGTACCTATTGATGATTAGATGCCATCTTCTATTCTTCATCCTAAAAAGAGCAGGTAGAACAACCATATAGCCTATTGGTTTGTTTTGAAAGAGTTTATTGAGTATGTTGTAAGTTGGCAATGGGATGAGCTATAACTGCAGGACTAACTGTAGCCACAATCAAGCTCCCAAAGTTTTTTCCTGGGCTCATCCCTGGGATTCACAGTCCTTTTCCCAGAAAATGGCTTGCTGTAGTGGTATAATGTCTAGCTAAATTCCTGTTTGTTATCTGATTGTAATAACCTTTTATAGATATATGCATAACTATTTTTGTTAGACACTTGAATTAGGTCACCGAGATTCTAATTACACTATCAGTAGAGTTGCACTAATGAAATCCCACAGTTAGTGCTGTAATTAGATCACAATGTACACCAATAGGATGATGAATTTTTAAAATCCTAAATTTTAAATTTACTAAATTTGTCCAATCCACAATACATTGCACACAAAGTCCTTTAGACTTTCTTCCTCAGTGGGCTTATATGAGAGAGTATTTCTGCACACAACACCTGACAAATCTCATGACTGTTAGAGTAAACATGCCCAGGAAGGGCTTGTGTGAGTCCCATACCTGTGCTGTCTTCATACACCACAGTCACTGTTTTCCAGTTGTAATAGAGGACCAGATCCAGGACTGCCCTGCTGATAGCTGCATAATCTGGGTAGAGGTTGATGTAAAATAAGTCTTTGTTGTCCACCGAAGGGTGTTTCCAGCGAGTCTGAATGTGTGGAACTTCCAGAGCGTTGCAAATAGACTGCACAGCGCTGACAGAAGAGCTGTGGGAAGGGCCAAAGAGAGCGGCCACACCAAGAGCCAGCTGGTCACAAGCTGATAATATCCAAAGACAAGAAAGGGGATGGTGAGGGAGGGCAGGGAAGGGGTGAAAAAGAGAGAGAGAGTGCTGTGAATTCACGTTCTCCTTACACGATTTCTCTACTCAACTATTAGAGACCTCCTATAATTCCCATGTCTGTGTTGATATCTGCTCTTTCCAGCTTCCAATATACTTTGGATAATAAGATACTGATAAATGTAAATGCAGAGCTGATCAGCAATAAATCATAAGGCCAACTCCCTGCAAATAAAAATGAGTTGCTGGTCTCAGTTCATTACCTTCAGTCAGATGAAGGCTAAATCCTTTACTTGATCCCATGAGTACTCAGTGAGCTAACTAGCAAACCATTTGTCAAATGAATGTCGTATGAATTAAGTTCTGTCATATGGCAGGGTGACAATGGAGAAATTAGTATGGTCAGAGAATTCGGAAGCTCCCATGGGTGACTATAAAATGCTTTGACTCCATTCCTTCTGAAACTCAGATAGGAATTCCAGATTATTTAAATATTGCTAAAGAGTACATATAAGCAGGGATGATACCTAATTAATTACAGAATAATGGAATGGCATGGCCTAAAGGGATCTTTAGAAGACACTTGAGTCTACCCCACTCATTTCATATGCAATGGACTTAATCATGGCCACTGGACAGTAACAGAGTTGAATGAGAACTTGAGGATCCCAGTTCAAGGTCAGGCCTTTTTTTCTCTCAATTATCAGCCAAACAGAATTAAATCACACATTTAAATTTTTATTTCTAACATTTTTTTTTGCTATAAGAACGAAAGCATCCATTGTAAGAAATTAGAATATTTATAATACAAGGATGGCCAAAGGCTTTTTCATTGGTCTGTCAACTTGAGATAATGCTTACTGATGTTTCAGGAAATGGTGACTGCTATTCAAGTATCATGTGATACACTGATGCCTTTATTGAATGAAATGCACAATGTTCTCCCTAAGGTAGTGCAAATTCTTCAAGAGTATTTTTCTACTACAGGAAGAACAGACCACTAGGTGGGAATGGTGTCATTTATCGAAGTCATTCTTATACATTTAAGTATTTAAACTCCTCTTAATTTTTGACTATGATAAGTAATATTTCAGTATTGATGTTTTTTCTCTACATCTTTAATTACTCTTTGATTCTAGATTCTAGGTGGTGATGTTTGCCATCTACTACTAAAAGGACTTGATATTTTTAAATTATTTGATATATGTTAATCAAATTTCCTTCCAGAAAGATTGGTTTATCTTCTCCCACCATGTAGAATAATGTCTAGTAATCACATGTAAATGGATGCTAAGTATAGGTTTACATACATCATTCATATTATACTCTTGTAAAATAAATTTTAATGTTGTCAAGTGATGATAATTGAATACCTAAATTAGATAAAAAGATCTATATAAAAGAATTTGTGTTAGGGATTTTACAATTATGCAGTTTTACAAAATTAAGTAGTGAACACCGTATGTTTCTGTAAGATTCTAGGAGATGTTTTAGAGAGGAGAAAGAGAAAAATTCTGACAGCCATGTTGCAGCCATCTGAGGGGCAGCTGATGCTGACATTCCAAGGACAGCTTCTGACACTGTGCTGCTGGGCGCTGGTTTTCTACACCAGCTTTGAAGATGCACAGCGTTCTGTGATGTGCCGAAGGTGTGAATTGTCACTGTCCTCCCAAACCCACTTCCGGATGTGTGTTCATTAGCCAGATAAAGTGTAAGCATGGGAGTATGAAAAATGTCTTATCCAGCGTGGGCAATGGATTGAGATTTTTGTTAATATGTCGTGACACTAGGATGCTAATATTTCTTGACAGAAAATCAATCCTTTAGAATTCTGTTTGTTGGAGTGTTTAATTTACAAGTATGGTTAGATCTTCAGATCACAGGAAAGTCTTCAATTTTTTTGTGGCTTGAAGTATCACTGTTAAATGTCATTGGCTTAGCTTTCTATGGTATTGTTCAAAAGTATATGAGAGAGAAGAGACAGAGAGAGATAGAGAGAGCCAGAAAGAGATAGAGAGACAGAGAGAGGTGCAGAAAGAAGAGAGACAGAGATACAGACTGTGAGAGTCAATAGGCAACTATGGCCTATAAGTAATCTCCAGCTTCATTCTTTAAAAAAAAAGTTTTTGAGGCAGAGTTTTGCAATGTGGCCCTCAAATCCATGCTAGGCTGGCCCCAAATTCACCTTGGTCATTTTAGTGCTAGGATTATAGGCATATGCCACCATGTCCAGCCTTCTAGTCTAAGAAAAACATGGTTATTACACCAAGATTATGATATATGTGGAAGCATTATTAAGGTATTAATCTTCATCTACTTGATGAAGAAAGCTTTACATTTTGTTTGTAAGTAGCACTGTAATGCCCTCAGGAAACTGTTTCAGGCAAACACATTCTCTGATGTAACTAGGCCATTTCTCTTAACCCTTATCATTCAGTTACTTGGAAACCACCAAAAGCATGGAGTTGATCATGTATGATTCGTGTCTGGAAAAAGCAAAGTGCGCTCTGGAAGGAAAAGGATTATATACTCAATATAAGCAGCAATCTTTGTTTCCACAAAATCTTTAACCTTGTGAGTAAGCAGTGCCTTTGTCAGAGGCCATGCATGCCCCATGTGTATGGAATCATTAGAGAACGGTTCTGGGGGTGCCCAGGGGACGTCTAAACCAGCTCCCACATTCCCTAAGATTCAGCCCACAGGATGAAGCTTGCAGCCTGCTTATAAATTATATTACATTTTGACTATTTGTCTTCTCTTCAGAAGAAAAGAGAAAATCAAATTGTGATTTGTTCTCACAGATTTAATCTTCATATTTTTATGATTTTGCAGAAAAGTGCAAAACCACCACCACCAACAACAAAATGAATAGATGTTAGATAAACCCAGCAGTTTGTAGGAATCTTTATTATCCCAGGCTTGACTTATGTATGTTCTGGGTACTTTTGCATGCTTGGTGGATGTGACCTTCCACAAAGTTTTATTTGAGTGCACTGTACAATTTCATGGTGGTATCTCAGCTTCAGGAAGGAAAAACAGATCAAGCTTGACATTTTCCATTCACAGCTGAACCAGTTAATCATAGAGTGGAGGGCACTGAAGGATAAGCTAATCAGAAAGGCCCAGAAAACAGGGCTAGGCAGCGTCCATTAGGTGAGTCCAGATTGCACTGATCAGTGACATTGGGGACCAGGAATTCCTACAACCCATTTGCACTAAGAAGCCTACTTCGAAAAAGGGCGAGCAGTGAAAAGGTGACCTGTGCAGCAGACTTATCACCTGAAGTAGCTTTGCAAAGTGGAAAAATAGTTACCTCTCCGGGAGGCTTCAAAACTATCAAAAAGATTAATTCTCTGGATGTCATAGGTTAATGTGGTGTTAGGCATCAATGTTCGGTTTCGGTTAATACTGGTGACTGCAAACTTGAAAGCTAATTCTTCAACATTAACGGGCTCATTTTCCACAGTTTCAAAAATCCCTCCTGCAGAAGCAAAAGAGATGCATGAGAAACGTTAGACAGGTGAAGTATCGCTGTTTTAAAAGAAGACGGTAAAATGTTAACAAAAGACCCCAAATCATAATCGACAGGATGACTAAAATATATACAGAATCTAGGCTGAATGTTTTCAGAATGTGTTACATGCAAACAAATAGTTCTAACTGCACACAGATGTTTAAGGTTTTAAATCCAGCATTGGATGTATAATACCTCTTAGATGGTGAATATATTCCAATTATTTTATACAACAGAATCATAGATAATAATGTAGAGGAAAGACATTTTCTCTGATTTTCACAAGATTTGTGCTGTGTTTGACCTAAACATATTTTAAACTATATTCTGGTAGGTAATCCTGTCTTGGGACTTAGACTTTTCTATTGAAAACAGAGTTTCTAGGAGCTGGAGAGGTGACTCTGCAGTTACAAACACTCGTATATGGCTCTTACAGAGGACTGAAGCTCAGTTTCCACCCACACTGCACTGCTCATAACCACCTGTAAGCCAACCTCCAGAACACCTGACACACTGTTGGGAGCCTACACTCATGTGCACACCCTACTCACACATACTCATGTGCACACCCCACCCGCACATACTCATGTACACACCCTCACCCACACACACTCATTTGCACACCCCAAACCTCACACACTCATGTGCATGTCCCACAAACACATTCATGTACACACCCTATCCACAATACTTATTAGCACACCCACACCCACACATTCATGTGCATACCCCCACCCACCCACACTCATGTGCATACCCTCACCCCAACACACTCATGTGCACACACTCACCCACACACTCATGTGCACGTATGCACTCACACACTCATGCATACCCCACCCACACATTCCTATGTACACCCCTATTCACCCATACTCATGTGCATACCCTCACCCACACACATTCATATGCACATCTCCACCCACACAGGTACACATAATTAAAGATAAAACAAACCTGTTTTAAAAAGCAGACATTCTGGACCCTAACACTACTGGGATTGGGGAGGGATGGACTGGGACAAACAGAATAATCCTACTCTGACAGTTTTCAGAATGAAAACATCTATTCTAGATTTTATGGCTCAGATGTCTGGGGTCATATTCTATATATCATAACATACTCCAAAGCATATGGGTAGATTCAAAGAAAGGTTATTTTTTCTGTTTGAAAAATCATTTGAATATACCCCAAAGCAAACTTGTGTTCTAACTCTGGGGAAATATGTTCTTTCATGCCCTAGTTTCTGGCATCTTAAACATGTGTATCTATCTCACTACAAACAATATCATCATGCTTGGCTTTCATCTGTGTCTCCATCTCCGACTGAGTGAAACGCTGGTATTAGATACAGACGTGGTTAGCTATATGTTCTTAATATTCTTTAAGTGCACCCATGATATTAACTCAATAGACACAGAATATTCCGTTGAAGCATTACAAACTGATTTCTGCTTAGCTAAGTCCTTGATTTACTCAAGTGTTTGTTTCCTCTGAAAATAGGCCCTAACTCCTGTCCATGGCATATGAAATATTCGTAGGCTGCAATTTATCTACTCTCATTGTTCCTTATTAAGGGTCAGAATTAGGTATTTCTAAACTTTGTTGATTCAAGCAAATACACACAGACACAGACACAGACACAGACACAGACACACACACACACACACACACACACACACACACACACACACAGATACACACATAATGTGAAATGAAAAGCACAAATAGTCACCATGTGCCTGATTTCTGTTCTTTCTCACATGGAGAAATCCAGTGTACAGATTTTAATTAAATGTAATCACACTGGCCCTATTTTGGAAGATTAGGTTTTTCAAAAAGCACATATATGACTTTGTTTCTTAATCAACTACAGCATCTAGCTGTGAGAGATGAGAAGACCTATGGTAACCTAATTTGGCTTCTTTCAAATATGTTTCTGGCAATTATAAATCAATAGCTTGAACCATTCATGTATAGATTACTGCTATGGTTCTCTATGAAACCATACTTAAGAATAAATGATGATGTCATGTTAACTCTCACTTAAGGACCCAGGGGAGACAGCTGTTTCAAAAGCAGTATCAGAAAATGATGTTTTCCCTCTGTCAATCACAAATGGGGAATCAGGAAGGGACTTTCATTTTCTCTGTGAGCCGAGTAAATGGTGGACTGACAGGTGGGGAGGTCAAGCAAGAAGCACTGAGTGGCCACAGGCAGATTGATGTAAGATGAGCTCATCGCTGTGGTCAAAGTGACCCACACTGAGGGCTTTTGCTATTAGAATTCCCACAGTAGTCACTGGCAATTGTTTACTAGTCTATCCTCTCATCCCCAGCAAGGGCCATGTGACAGAGTCCATGTCACTCAGAATCTGACCCTATCAAGGCCAAGGCATCTTAAGATACTCAGGCTGCAACTATTTAGGGGGAAAGTCAGCCTCTGCCTGTGAGAAGAGCGGCAACTTAATGGGCAGGCAGGTCATGGGAGGGGATCTACTCCCACATAAAGAACAGAAGTGAAATGTGGTCACGGGCTTTACCTAATTCTTCTCTGAGACTTTTAAGTTGTGGGAGGAAAACCATCCCAGAGTAGCTATTCTGTGCAGTTTTCTTCAAAACTTTATAACTAACAGACAAAGTAGGAGATATTTTCCTGTTCTAGTCAATGAAAAGGAAAGAGATAGCACACATTGTCACCAAATAATTCAGTTACAAGACTCATCTGTGACAAACTGTCTTTTCTTCTTTGTTCTTTTTTTTTCCTCTCTTACTTTTTGAAACTTGAAGATAGCCCATTTTAATAAGATATTTAAATCCTTCTGGGAGTGTCTTTGTGGGGCTAACTTCTGTCCTCATCCGTCTGGAAGCTAAGGGTCCAACTTGACAGGAAGGAAGACTCCTTCCTCAGTCATTGCTCTGTTCCTTCTCTACTCTTGTAGCCCATTTCCCCTTTGACTGTCCCTCTTCCTATGAAGGTCAAGGTACCTCTGTGACTTTTGACCTCTCTCATTTTAGCTGAACTAACCATAACTTCTAGTCCTAAGAAATCAATGAGCTGTGGACAAAGTTAGAAAAAGTAAAGGTAAGGTAAGGTATTTTAGGCCTTGATATGAGTGGAAAAGACATCTATTCATTCATCCATTTATTTATTTATTTATTTATTTATTTATTTATTTATTTATTTATTTATTTATGTATCTATCTGTTTATTTATTTATCTATCTACCTATCTATTTATCTACCTATTATCTGTTTGTTTAGTACTTTCTAAGTTACTCAGGTAAGATCAGTGAGTGTAGAAGGAGGGAACACTTTGACAGGTCAGGATGAACAAGCTTCCCTTTTTTGGCTGTAACTTTTGAACATGGCAGATGGTGCCCAGGGGGACAGAAACCTCAGAGGTATGCTTGGCCATGCTTGCTTTCATCACTTACATCTTATGAGGAAGAAAAACATGAGACGTTTTAGTGAACTACCTTTTGTCTTTATTGTGACGTGAGTGCTACAGATCTCACATCCATTCTTACAGCCTAGATGCAAGTAGGCATCAAACCCTCTGCCTAATCACAATAGGAAGGTGAGCAAGGGTCAAAGGGCATCATCAATACAGAGCCCCCTCTTTCTTCTCCACCCCTCCCCCAAACCACTTGCTTCTCAGTGTCAAAGCTCAGAATCCTTGGAATAACTGACCAAACACAGGGTTACAAAGTAGAAGTCGGGGTAGGCAGGGTTCTAAACTTTAGGTCCTCATGCCCTTACATAAAAAAGCTAGGAATGGTGGAATGCTTGTAATCTGCAGGGGTGTAACTGAAGTTTTTTCCAGTCCTGCCTGGGCCTGCACCTGCTCAGACCCAAATAAACACACAGAGGCTTATATTAATTAAAACTGTCTGACCTATTGGCTCAGGTATCTTGTTAGCTAGATCTTACATCTTAAATTAACCCATTCCTATAAGTCTATACCTTGCCACGCAGCTCATGGCTTACCGGTATCTTTACATCTTGCTTCTCATGGTAGCTGGCAGCATCTCCTGACTCAGCCTTCCACTTCCCATAATTCTCCCTATCTGTTTGTCCTGCCTATACTTCCTGCCTGGCTACTGGCCAATCAGCATTTTATTTATCAACCAATCAGAGCAACACATTCACAGCATACATAATATCCCACAGCACAGGGGAGTCCTAGGAGCCCACTGGCCAACCAGTCTAGCCTATTGGCAATGTCCACATTCAATTAGAGACTCTGTCTTAAATATTGAGTTGGAGGGTGGTAGAGGGAGATACCCAGTGTCAACTTCTGGCTTCCAAATTCACTTGCAGGGGCTATACACACTGGTGTATTCAGGCATATGCTACAACCTCAAAATATAGAATAAAAACCTTATCTAAAACTAGAAATTGGGCTTTTAAGAATCATGCTCAGCTGGTGATGGTGGCGGCACACACCTTTTAATCCCAGCACTAGGGAGGCAGAGGCAGATGGATCTCTGTGAGTTTGAGGCCAGCCTGGTCTACAGAGTGAGTTCCAGGACAAGCTCCAAAGCTACACAAAGAAACCCTGTCTTGAAAAAATAATAATAATAATAATAAAACAAACAAACAAAAAGACTCTAGCTTTATGTACAGATACATATTTGTGCTCTTTGAATTGTAAGGGTAAAACTATATTTCTTATAAATACCAAAATAGGTATAAGTTTGGAAAATAGTGTGTGTGTTTAGACTTAATTTTTGAAGACCTGTGAGTTTCCTATGTTGATTTTTCTCCCACTGTGCTTTGCCTAGAAGGATAGAGGTTGGTACAAATAAGGCTTATACTTACTTATACTGGTATAAGTATATGTGTGTGTGTGTGTGTACGTGTATGTGTGTACGTGTATGTGTATATATATATATATATCATATCATATCATAACATATCATATACTCTATGCTCCTGTACTTGAACACAGCTACAAAACACAGC